CCACACCCAGCCAGTCACATGACCACCCAGTCACATGACCACCAAGCTACATCCACAAATTAGGCCACGCCCACAGAACCAGTTGTTAAGAAATTTGAATCCCACCCCTGTCTCCATGCTTATCAAGCCAATGTGACTAAATATCAAAGAAAATTGTTTCATCCATCAGTATAAGGTTTTGGCCAGATGTAAACAAACAAGGGGCTGCCATATCTTTAGAAATTGTGCAGGAAAGAATATTATAACTGATGTTTTTTATAACAGTAAAGCTACTATACTTTCTGAAATATTATCCTTCCAGGTTCAAAATCCTTTCCTACTGGCTGTGCTAGCTGTGGCTCCTGAGTGTTGTAGTAAAACATCTGGAGGACTACATTTACTTCTGCTGTAGTGTAAAGTAGGAGCAAGCTTAACTCATAATTAGATTTTGTGTCAGCCATGATTCCCACTGGCTTTCGATTTTGAAAACTGTCTGACTATATTAGCAGTACAAAGCCTCCCTAAAACCAAATAAGGCAGCATTTAATAAACTAGGATTAGAAATATAACTAGCTCTGCTTTTTATCCCAAGTGTGGAATCAAAATCCAGGACCCAGAGCAAGTAATCAAGACCCATGGCAGTGATTTATTAGACAGTACTACTGGAGAGATTTTTCCCCCAAACGAATAGTAGGAGACACACCTTTGAAAACAAAGAGAGGCACTCATATTTATACATTTCAGAAAGGAAAGGAAAATAGCTCATGCATACATATTCATAAGTAATAACATAATAGATTTCAGGTTAATTTCTGTTATCTACAGAGAACAATGGTTTTAGTTAGGAGATAAAATTGCATCTTGAGAATCAGGGGTTGCTATGGGAATGTTCTGATAAAACTTGCCACAGGTTGCAATGAGCTACAAGGACACATTACTTATGTCTGAATTTGTCTGTTAAACAGTCCGATTGCTGCCTGTGTAGATTTTGACCTTGAGGGATGCAATAAACCAATTCAGTTGCGGTGTGTGTAGACTTTTAGCCACTCTATTAAGACAGAACATTGTCTAGGGTATACCATCACAGAGATAGTCTACCCTTCATACCCTATGTGTCACATGTCTATCCCATTGTGACTCTATGACAAACTCGTGGTATCACATTGCCATCATGTGACATACCACAAAGATTTTCCCCTTCACGGAACTGGGGTGGGCGTGACCTGCGTGTGATGCATCTGGCCCACCGGTTTGACACCCTTGCTCTATGGCCTCATAAACCATTATTAGGGTTTTATTTTAATATTTTATCTCATATATTGTATTGTCCACATACCTTGTATGTATAGATTTGCCGATGCTTTATCTAAACTTACATTCATCTACCGGTGATTGCATGACTTCTTCAATGCCACGTGCTAAATTAGATAAATAAAAACCATCCCATTCATCTGAAAACAGTTCCAAATCAATTGTTTGGAATATGATAACAATAGCCAACATGGCAGTGATGGGATTCAAATTTTTTTACTACCAGGTCTGTGGGCGTGGCTTGGTGGGCATGGTGTGGCTTGGTGGGCGTGGCTTGGTGGGCATGACTTGGTGGGCGTGGCTGGATGGGCATGGTGGGAAGGATGCCGTAAAATCTCCATTCCCTCCCCACTCCAAGGGGAAGGTTACTGCAAAATCCCATTCCCTCCCCATCCCGCTAACCTGCTTTCCAGCTCCGTTCTCCTGTGCAGGGCAACCAAAGAAGACCCAGCCAATCATCTGGGACTCAGGAGGCACAGAATAGATGTGGGTGTGGTCAGTCAGAAGTGGTATTTGTAGATTCTCCGAATTACTCAAAATTTCTGCTACCGGTTCTCCAAAACTGGTCAGAACCTGCTGAATACCAGGTCTGTGGGTGTGAGCAACACGGTCAGTACTGGAATAGCCATTTGGATGGCCGGTGGTTCTCCGTGCTCATCTCAGAATTAGGAAAAGGAGGAGATGGAAGTAAATGCTAGTCTAGAAGTCTTGTCAATGTAAGAAGTGCCACATTTCATTGGCACTCTCCACCACGCATGAATGTCCCAGACTTCCCTTTCATTTAAAAATGTCCCAATTTTCACTGTAAGCTTGCTTTTATCTCAGCCTAATTAAGAATCGGCACAGCAAAAAGAAGACATTTCTGTTATATTATAAAGTCAGCAGTCACTGAAAATAGGCAAAGGTATAAAAAAGCAAAGAGTTTAGTTTTGTAGGCAAGGTCCCAAGCTGCTTGTGAATGATTCTGGAGAGAAATTCAACAAGACTGGCCCACAGGGACTGCTATCAACTTGTTTTAATCCCATTAGTTTAACTTCTTGGTTTGAGTCCTTAAATGTCTATGAAAACGATAGGGGCTTATTAGATACTATGAATGATTTATAGCAGGAAATTTAGCTTGGCTTTGTGCTCTGTTTTTTCTCCTGCCATGAACAGAGTTGTAGAAGGTCATTTTTTGGGGTATGTGTTTGTACACTTTCACAGACATACTGTACTAATGGAAAACTATATAATATCTTTAGACTAGAACAGGGGTGCGATTCAACCAGTGGTGGGATTCAAAATTGTTTACTACCGGTTCTGTGGGTGTGATTGGCTTGGCTTGGTGGGCGTGGCAGGGGAAGGATACTGTAAACTCTCCATTCCCTCCCCACTCCTGGGGGAAGGTTACTGCAAAACCCCATTCCCTCCCAACCCCACTAACCTGCTTTCCAGCTCTGTTCTCCTGTGCAAAAGAAGACCCAGCCAATCAGCTGGGACTCGAGAGGCAGAGAATAGATGTGGGCGTGGTCAGTCAGAGGTGGTATTTGCCAGTTCTCTGAACTACACAAAATTTCTGCTATCAGTTCTCCAGAACTGGTCAGAATCTGCTGAATACCACTTCTGGATTCAACCGGTATAACAACCGGTTCGGTGAGCCCATGGACAATGTTTCTCCAGGCCTTCCTGTCCTTTACCATCCCCCGGAGTCCATTTAAGCTCACACCAACTGCGAGGTTTTACAGTATCCTTCCCTTGCCACGCCCACCAAGCCACGCCCACAGAACCGGTAGTAAAATAAAATTAAATCCCACCACTGCCTGGCAGGGTAACCGAATGCATATCAATTGGCAGTAAACTCACACTGATGTTGTCTAGTTGAGTAATGAAATCATTACCTAACTAGATCTAGTAGTTGCTAAGGTAGCCGACTAGAAACAGACAACTGTGAGTTCTAGTCCTGCCTTAAGCATGAAAGCTGACTGTGTGACTTTGGGCCAATCACTAGGAGACTGAGAGTTTAATTTAGTTTACTTTATTGTCATTGCACCTCGTACAACGAAATCAAACACCATCTTCAGTGTACATCATGACCATGAAAATAAACACAAACACATATCCTTCACACTCCACACATTGAATTGAAAAACCTTGATATTGCATTAATATTGCACTATACAGCAGAATTCAAAAGAGTTACTGCCCTGGGATAGAAGCTGTTTTTCAGCCTATTTGTCCTTGTTTTTAATTATTCTGTACCGTCTGCCAGATGGTAATAGTTCAAAAAAAAAGGTTCCCAGGTTGAGATGGATCTTTGAGAATGTTTTGAACTTTCTTAATGCAGCAGGAGCTATAAAGCTCTTCCAAAGAGGGGAGAGGGTCAACCAATGATCTTTTGGGCAATGACATTAACCCTCTAGTCCCACTTTGGGCATGAAAGTCTGCTGGGTGACTTTGGGCCATTTCTCTCTCAGCCCAACCCACCTCACAGGGCTTTTGTTGGGGGTAAAATAGAAGAAGGAAAGACTCTTAAGATTTATTTATTTTTTTGCCCCCTTGAGTCTTTTATTTTAAAAAAACACAATAAAGGTGGGATAAAACTAAAATAAATACAAATAAACGACTGCAAGGAAACATCCAAGCTCCGGAAGCACCCAGGACTCCAGTGCCCATGGCTTTTCCTGAGTACAAGGCACAGAATAAACTTGATTGCAGGAAATACGACTTCAGCAACAGAGTGGTCAACGTCTGGAATACTCTACCCGACTCTGTAGTCTCTTCCCCAAACCCCAAAAACTTTAACCTTAGACTGTCTACTATTGACCTCACCCCCTTCCTAAGAGGTCTGTAGGGGGCGTGTATAAGCGCACCAACGTGCCTACCGTCCCTGTCCTATTGTTTCTCTTATTCTTTTATTTTTCTTATATGTACCCATTTCATGTATTCACAACTATGTATACGCTTATACTTATTATCTTGTAAACAATTGGCAAATCAAATAAATAAATAAATAAAATAAATAAATAAAATAAATAAGTTACAGGAAGGAGTATTATGGTTAAAGGATAGGAAAAGTACCCTCCTAAGCAGGTGCAACAATTTGGCAGTGAAACCAGGCCCCCTTTGTGGGGCTTGATGTTTATTCTGAGGAAACTCCACAGCCTTCCTAACTCTGTGTTTCTGCTATGCTTCTGATTTTAGTCAGGAGGAAACATTCCCAAAAACACGAGCCAAACTTTGGCAATAAAACTTGTGGACTTCAACTCCCAGAAATCCCCAGCCAGCATAGCTGGCTGGGGAATTCTGGGAGTTGAAGTCCACTGGTCTTAAAGTTGCCAAGGTTGGATGCCCCTTGCCTTAGAAGAGGGGTTAAAATGCGATGGGTGGGTTTCTTTTCCTTTTTTGGTCCAGCAGCCCTGCATTCTGCCACATGTGTGTGAGCTGCCTCTTAGGCCCTCCTTCTCCCCCGAAATCAGACACCAAGACTTCGAATCACTCCCCCTGGCCAGGAAAAAAAAAAAAGCAAATAACCCAGCTCCGTCTTTTCTTTTTAAGAACAGATTCTTCTCTTCTCCCTCCCCCCTTTTTTTCCCTCCTCCTTTCAGCATTAATTTTCACCGTCCTTGGCTATACAATGTGACTGGGTGCCTTCCTTCCCCTTCTACTACCACACTTCGGCATTTCTTTTTTAAATAAAGAAAGGACTGTTTGGGTTTCCTGCATCCAAAAACATGCCATGTATCCCAAGAACGTGGATTGCAAACTTTTCCTTTTGGGTTCACCTCCTTAATATCCAGGCATTTTGCTATGCTAGAAATCCACCCGGGAGATTTGTCTTCCCAGACCAGAAGCAAGGTCAGTAGCTTTTTGTTCTGTTTTGTTTTTTAAATTACAATAACTTGGCTGCCTAAAGCGCAGGAAAATGGGGCATCTTTTCTTCCACATTCCTGCACTCTGGATCTTAAGTTTGCAAAACGAAAGGACTTCCCTCAGCAAGTAAGTGGGTAAAGTTTCTCCTCCTCCGAATTGCTCTTTCGATTTATTTCTGGATTTATTGTATATCATCTGTAACATTTTTCTTCTGTAAAAAAACAAAAAAACACACCAAACCAAACCAATCACTGCCCACCTCAGCTCGTTAAGGGAAGGCAGAAATATTGTAGACGATTTAAACCGCAGAGACATTCACAAATCCTACAAAATTGGGGCTTGGTCGAAATTGCAATCATTATCACCCATCCTCCTTGCAGCTAAGTTTCTAAGCTGAAATTACAAAAAATAAACTAAAAATAAAATATGAAATGCTCATTGATGACCATTTTCCTTAGAAAAACCAGCTTCGCTCCAGAAACCACTCTGAATGGGATTTTGAACAACCCTGTTTTTCCAGTTGCAGTTTTCTTTACCGCAGACTGAGTTTGAGCAGTTGATTCATCGGTTATTTTTTTTAAAAAAGTATCTGACTCAAGGAAAAAAAGTAATAATGAAGAAAAGGGCTTTGTCTTCCAATTTCAGCTACAAGAAACAGTTTTATTGGGACGAGGTCTATAAGTTGCACAAATTCTGGAAAGCTACCACATGAGAGCTGTTTATTGTTCATAGACATTTTGCATGAACAAGGAGTTGTTTTGACATTTTGGGACCCCCATTTGCAAGCCTGTGGGAATTACACTTAATATACTGATGGGGTTTGTTGATATTTTCACAGCTGTTGATTGTACAATTTGAACAGCATGTTTGATAGTCAGGTGTTCTGGAGATGTTGCACACTTTTTTAATATATAATTTTTTAAATTAAACATAACAATTCAAAAACATTGAACTTAGTGGAGTCATTTTGACATAACTTTTGGTCATCATTCTAGTGAAATATAATAGAATATAAATCTTATATATATTTATACATATATATATACACATATATACATTTATTCATCCTTATTTATATCTTTCAACACTCTTAGTGTTATTTAAGTCTCATGATCACAGATGTCCTCTTAACAATTCTTTTCAATCTTGAACCCTTCCTTTCTGTAAAATCTATTCCAAATTCCATAATATTCTGATTCATCTTTATTTTTCATCTCTAGTGTTAGACTACCCATTTCAGCGCAAGTCAAAATTTTATTTATTACTTCACCTTCACTAGGAATTTCTTTCTCTTTCCAATTCTGGGTAAGAGATGTCACACATTTTAATGGATTAGATTCTATTAAGAATCATCTGCAAGGATCACGTCCGTTTCTTGAGTTTTGTACAGGTAATCCTTGATTTACAACAATTCATTTAGTGACTGTTCAAAGTTACAACAACACTGAAAATAGTGATAGCAATAGCACTTAGATTTATATACCGCTTTACTGTGCTTTACAGCCCTCTCTAAGTGGTTTACAGAATCAGCCTATTGCCCCCAACAATCTGACTCCTCATTTTACCCACCTCGGAAGGATGGAAGGCTGAGTCAACCTTGAGCCGGTCAGAATTGAACCATTGACAGTCATCAGAATTAGCCTGCAATACTGCATTCTAGCCACTGTACTATCACGGCAATGGTGGTATTCTACTGGTTTGGCTCGGTTCTGCTGAGCCGGTAGCGGCGATGAGCAGCAGAAACCGAACCGGTTCTCTCCACCGCTCTCTGTTAGGCCCACCCACCCGCCTGGGCTCCCATACTCACCTTTATCCTCTGAATTTGAAGCGCAGCTGCTTTGCGCGGCACAGAAGAGTCTTGCAGTCTTGCAGGAGGTGAGTTAGAATGCTTCTGTGCCTGCGCCAAGTGCGCTTTTGGTGCACGCACACACAAAGTGTGTGCATGCGCGCAAAGTGTACCCACCAAGCCACACCCACCGAACTGGTGGTAAAAATATTTGAATCCCACCACTGTACCACGGCTCCTAACCCATGACTAAAAACGTGACTTATAACCGTTGCAGGATCCCTATGGTCACGGGATCAAAATCCAGATGCTTGGCAACTGCTCCTATTTATGATGGAGTCATGTGATCACTTTTGGTGACCTTCTGACAAGCAAAGTCAATGGGGAAAGCATATTCGTGTAATAACCATGTTACTAACTTAAACAACTACAATGATTCACCTGCTACCTAACTATGGTGGCAAGAAAAGTGATAAAATGGGGCAAAACTCACTTAACAGATGTCTCACTTAGCAACATAAATTTTGGGCTCACTTGTGATTGTCAAGGACCTGTGAAAATACCTTAATGATCCAATTGTCCCTCTTCAGATTCGAGTTTTTCATCATAACGTAACCAGCGCAAAACTAGGTCACGTTAAGAAATAAAGACATTTTATTCCTTCTGTTCTGATTTCAATAGGAGAATGGGAAAAGGCATTAATTCCCCGGCGGAAGCCTTGCCTTGTTAACATGGCTGTAATTCGACATATTCTCTAACTTAATCAGATTCAAGCTTTAAAGGGTGACCAGACAGGGCAAATAAACCAGGACATCGTTACCTGCTTTTGTTAATAATAGTAAGTTTGAAGTTTGCCTGTTTATAATGCTAAAGGATCTTTCCTTGCATTGATCCCATTACTGGTCTGTTCCCTTGCAGGGGAAATGCAGGTACACCTCATCTTACAACAGTTCATTTAATGACCGTTCAAAGTTACAACAGCACCGAAAAAAGTGACTGATTACTGTTTTTCACATTTGGTCAAAAGTTGGAAGCTTGGCAACTGACTCATATTTATGATGGTTGCAGCATCCTGGGGTCATATGATCACCTAAGAGATTGGATTCCCATGTGTCAGAAATGGTGTAGGGTCTCCTGCTTGGGCTAGATGACCTAAAATAGTGATGGCAAACCTTTCCGGCACTGAGTGCCAAACCAGAACAGAGCAGGGGAGAGGTAGAGCAAGGCAGAGGTAATTCAGAGGAAGACCCAGGGCCACCCCTCTTCATCCTAGGGCACGCAGGGTGGAACAGAGAGGGGAGCAACATGAATTGCATGGCTTACGGGGGAGGAAGGGCCCTGATTCCCTTCATTAGCTGCAGCTGGGAACTCAGTGTTTATGATGCAAATCGTGAATTATTTGGTATTGTCCAAGGCTTATCTGGATTCCTGGAGTCTTCCCAACTGTGTGTGTTTGGCTGTGCTTTCAAGTCTGCAATTCCTTCTCCTGCCCTGTCAAGTTAATTACTGCAGCTTTGTTTGTTTGGATTTTTAGTTACAGTTTGTAGATACTTTGTTTTCGGACTGAATTTTCTCCACTTAAAGACTGTTCCTGAGAGAGTTTGTCTCCAGCTGAAGATAACCTGGACATTGGGGGACAAAGTTGGAGATAATTAAAGGGACTCTTCTTGCTTATTTAACTGCGTTGCCTTTGTGCCATGCCCCGGGTCATCACATTGCAAGTGGGATTAGATATAAGAAAATGGAAGGAGAGACTCATCTTTATGGAGCATATTTATGGAGAAAATGAAAGATGGGCTATTAACATGCCAGGAAAGGAGAGTTATTAGCTTGAGCTTGTCTTCTTTGCCATAAGTGGGCTATTCCTAGTCTCATGGCTGCAAATGTTGCTATCTATACTCCATTGGTCAGATTCCTTTCTCCATTTCTTCTAGTTTGGATAGTAAGTACTCAAGATGATTTAAGAATATCTCAGCTAAAAAAAGGTTTGAGCGTACTGACTGATTGACATTCTTTTGATTAGCATCAACTATTCGTCTTGGAGCTGATCTCAACCCCTGGTGATTTCATGGGCACAACCCTAAGTCACTGCCTTGTTTGGAGCATTTATTTTTATTTCTCAGTCTAGTTCTGCACTTTCACAGTGTAGTTTGTCACTGAAATATTATACAAATAGAACCCTGATTACATTAGTGAGATCATTCAAGGCCAACTAGGTCCTACCATTTGTTAGAAGCATAGCATGAACTACATAAGAGGAAATTATGTGAAGAATATTTTAGATGCAATTCATCAAAACAAAACTACTTGAAGAGGACAAGCTGAACTTTATGGGATCATCATGAAAATATTTTATTTATATATTTGAAATGAAACATAGGAACAAAATATCCTCATGATGACCCCATAAGTTTCATCTTGTCCTATGTGTTGTTCATATTGTCCTTTAAGTAATGTAGAAAATAAAAACAATTATGCCAATTAAAAAATCATTAAAGTTGAAAGTAAAACACAAACTATTACAAAGCTTGGCTTGTCCTCCAGATATGTTGGCAAGAAATTTTGGAAGCTGTAGCTCTATTATCTGGAGGATCATAAGATGAAGTTAGCTGACCTTAAAGAATGAAATATTTCTTGGAGATTAATTCCAGACAGTGAAGAAACTATGCTAAAACTGAAGAATAAAAAGCTAATCTTTATGATACAGATTAGATCCAGGGGTGGGATTTTACCGGTTCTATAGAACCGGTTGTTACAATTCTGCACAGTTTGGAGAACTGGCAAATTGTGTCCCTGGCTGGCCCCGCCCCTCTCCACTCACCCCTCCCCTCCGCTCCCCACCCAGTCAGTCCTTATGGTATTTCTTTTTTTCCTCCTGACATCAGCTGTTCCGATGATAAGCTGTGTCGGGATCCCCCTCGCTGTCTTACTGATTTACCCAGGAGGTTTCCTGAGGCCCAGGAGGCAAAATAAACAGAGCGGGGGGGAGGGGTTGCTGAAGAAAAAAGAAGCCACGCCTACCCAGTCACATGGCCACTCCCACCTAGCCACTCCCACCTAGCCATGCCCACAGAACCGGAAGTAAAACTATTTGTATCCCACCCAGATTAGATCCATAATTTATCTATTTATCTATTTATTACATTTATTTGCTTCTCATCTTGCCCTGGGACTATTCTGGGCAGCTTATAACAATAAAGCAGGGGAAAAAATATGACAAAACATATAAACATTAACAATAGCAAAGGAATAAAACAAAAATTAAAAAAATGGAAGTTAACAATAGCACTAGACTTATATCCTGCTTCACAGTGCTTTTACAGCCCCCTCTAAGCCGTTTACAGAGTCAGCATATTGGCCCAACAATTTGGGTCCTCATTTTATTGACCTCGGAAGGATGGAAGGCTCAGTCAACCTTGAGCTGGTCAGAATCGAACTGCTGGCAGTCGGCAGAATTAGCCTGCAGTACTGCATTCTAACCACTGCGCCATCATGGCTCTTGTACAATAATATGCCATTAAAGAAGATGGGTGGAACGGGAACACGAAACGCAGGTGGGAGGTGTGGTCAGCTAATTAGTCCAATAGCCACCTCCAGTGTGGAACTCTCCCATTTGGTTCCCAGGCTAATTGGCAGAGCTAGGTCTTCAGGCCTTTCGGAAGGATAGGAGGGTGGAGGCAAACCCCACTCTTGGGGGCAGGATGTTCCAGAGGGCTGGTGCTACAGCAGATAAGGTTCTTCTGGATCCCATCAATCAGAGTTCCTTGACTCACGGACCAATAATAAATTAGGATTTTCTGAAAAGGTTGGACATTTAAAAGTAAAAACAAGCTTGCTTCACAACTAACTGATCTCACTTAGAATCTGCCATATGGCTATTATTAGAAGCATTGAGGAGAAGGATCTCATTTAACCATCCACCTATTGAAATCAGGTCACAATTAATTTAAGGGGCCATTTATTTCAAAAGATATATTTTAAGCAGGATATAAACATAATGTCTCAAACGTGCTTCAGTGGTTCACATGGTTGAGTTTGGCATGGAAATAATGGTATAATGTTATACACTGTAAACATAATAAACTCTAATATGAATAGTGATCACTTTTTAAATAAAGCTAAGTTTCAACTCTTTTTTTTTATTCCCTAGATCAATTTGTTAAAGCGCTGCAAGATTACCAAGTGGTTAGCCCAGAAAGAGTTGATGGAGACGGACATTTTCTCTCCTACCATTTACATCTCCATGCTTCAAACTTCAGAGGGAAAAGAGACTCCAGGAGAAGAGACAGTAAAGCATATTATAAAATTAGGCACAAAAACACGGATCTCTTCTTCGACTTAACACTTCACCGAGAATTACTGTCCAATAATTATGTTCTGGAAAAGCGCTATGGCAACTATCTCGGTGCTAAGATCTCTCCGAGCACAGGCACATCGTGTCACCTTCTTGGGACCGTCATGGATTCTGGTTCCAGGAGTGGAACAGCAGCGATCAGTACTTGCAATGGGCTAGTAAGTGACTGAGTTATTCGGAAATCTTTATCGCTCTTTGTAACTGTAAAAGGAAAATAATCTGAAACCAGCCCAACTTTAGGAACTATGCATAAAAAAAAAAAGAAACTGATTTTAAAATTGACCCAAATAGCATTATAGGAAGAGTTACCTGGTACCTACAACTGGGGGTTTGTAGGAAATTTTTATCTTGAGGCCAGCTTTAAACTCATCCTATGTTAAGCCATAAGAATTGTGCAGGAATCTGATCAATTATGTTTACTTGATGGCTGTTATTCTAGGATTGTTATGCTTTGTGGGCTGGTAGTCATCTTTAGAATTTAGAATTCAGAGAACATCACTACTTTCATAAAAGCACTGAGGGAGATGAGTGATTTAGAAATAGGAAGTTAACATAAAATAATAAAATAAATCATTGTTATGGAAGGGTTTCTCAATCGCTATTAGAGAAGCCATGAGGATTGAGATTGTGAATATATCACATCCATCCATCCATCAGTCAACAGTAGGCATCTTTAGCAGTGGATACTAGCCTAAACAAAAATGGCAAGTGTGGCCATGTGACACTAAAACTGCATCTCTATTTCTGGGTGTGTGGAATGTGTGCAATAGATGTTTAAAAATGACTGAGCTTGGATTCTATCGTTGCATCTGCCATTTGAACCCATTGCTACAGATGCATCTGGATATCATCACATCTGTTTCTTCAGAAGGCAAATTGGAGATGTGGAAGGGAAAACAAAAAAAGTAATAAAACCATAATTTGTCCACAACTTAATTGCAAGGACAACCATTCCTTACATTCTCAGCTATCAAGGTCAGCCTTTGATGGACCTTGGAGCTGACTGCACTAACATTAGGGGACCTTAGGTGACAAAGTCAACTAATACCACTCTATGAAGCCTTAGTAAGACCATACCTATACTGCATCCAGTTTTGGTCACCACACTATAACAAAGATGTTGAGACTCTAAAAAGTGTGCAGAGAAGAGCAACCAGGATGGTTAGGGGACTGGAGACTAAAACATATGATGAATGGTTGCAGGAACTGGGCATGGTTGGTCTAGTGAAGAGAAGGACCAAGGGAATCATGATAGTAGTATTCCAATATCTGAGGGGCTGTCACAGAGAGGAAGGGGTCAAGCTATTTTCTAAAGCACCCGAAGACCAGACAAGGAATAATGGATGGAAACTGAACAAGGAGAGATTCAACCTGGAAATAAGGAGAAGCTTTCTGACAGTGAGAACAATCAACCAATGGAACAGAAGTTGCCCTCTGAAGTTGTGGGAGCAGCATCACTTGAGACTTTCAAGAAGAGATTCGTCTGCCATTTGTCAGAAATGGTGTAAGGTCTCCTGCTTGGGTGGGGGTTGGACTAGATGACCTACAAGGTCCCTTCCAACTCTGTTAATCTAATCTAATCTAATCTAATCTAATCTAATCTAATCTAATCTAAAAGTCTAAAATAGATTATGAACTACATTAAGATTCATGTGAAACAGGTGTTCCTCGGCTTACAACAGTTCTTTTACTGACCATTTGAAGTTTACAACAGCACTGAAAAAAAGTGACGTAAGACCATTTTTCACACTTATGACCATTGCAGCATCCCCATGGTAATGGGAACAAAATTCAGATGTATTTTATTTATTTATTTTAGAAAATTTATATTGCTCCCTGCTTCTTATACTGATATAAAAACCATATAAAAGAAATAAAAAGAAAAATAGTAAAATAATAAATTAGTAAAATAATAATCCCCCACCCCGGCAACAACACATATTAATACAAATCATTTAATGGGTTCCATCCCACTCTGGGTTCCCCAGGCCCACTGACAGAACCATGTGTCAGCACTTTCCGGAAGAGTGTGGGCCAGTCTAATCTCTGGGGGAATGATGTTCCAAAGAGAGGGAGCCACCATGGAGAAGGCCCTTCTTCTGGATCCTGCCAGATATATCTTCCTAAGGGATGGGACCCGCTGTCAGGATTCCGGCAGTTACCCCAATTAAATCATGAATCTCGAGCCAAACTTCCAAAACTTCAAAAGGATTTATTGGGAGTTAACATATCCGGCACTGCCTGGGTGTAGCCAACTCTGGGACACATGATTCATAGTCACCCTTGACCCTGGTTTTCCCCCACCCCCTGGGTGTATCACAATTCATATTCTCCAATGGGACACATCCATAGCAAAGAGTCATCAATCATGTTCTCCAGTTAGATCTTTGCACGGCAGAAACTTCAGTCACCTAGTTACTATCTCTGAAAAACTATGAATGGAATGCACTTTTGATTTCCAAGCTGTCGCATTGCTCTTTCAAACCCCTTTCCCTCCTCCCTTTCTGTTGGCAACTCTAAAAAGACCATTGAAATATTTTATGAGTTGACACCCGCAACATTCCTTGCCTCCAAGGATGCTTGGCAATGGTCTCATATTTGTGACGGTTGCTGGGTTCCCGGGTCACATGATCACATTTTGTGATCATCTGACCAGCAATGTCAATGGGGAAGGCAGATTCACTCAACAACCCATGTTACTAATTGAACCACTGCAGTGATTTGTTTAACAATTGTGGCAAGACAGGTTGTAAAGCGGGGCAAAACTCACTTACTATCTCACTTATCAACCAAAATTTTGGGCTCAATTGTCATGACCCTGGTGGAGTCTGACTCTGAGGAAGAGGAGGAACAGCCAACAGGGAGTGGGAGTGTGGCTCCAGAGGTGGCTGGAGGAGGCTGGGGAAGGGCAGAGGCTGGCTAAGCAGTCAGAGGAGGATCCAGGCCCATCCCCTATCCATTCTAGGTCACGCAGGGAGGAGAGGATCAGGGAAAAGCAAGGTCTACTCAAGAGAAGATTACCATGATCCTCCTCGTGGCTTGGAGATGGGAGCTATGTATATAAGTTTGCAACTGCATAGTTAGAATTTGCAGGAGTCAATTTAGTGTTCACCTTGAAAGAGGTTTATCTTTGCTGGCGTTCTTCCCATAGACTTTTCTCGGTTATTTTCCTGGAGTTTATAATTAGTTATCTTGGCTTGCTTCGGAACTCTCATCAATGAGGTTTGTTCTGGTTTTCTGTTTGCCTCATTATTTACTTTTGTGACTTTAAACTGTGCCTAATAAAACAGTGAAGTTTAAGTTGAAGGCCTTACCGGACTTTAATGTATGTTTTGGGTTTGGGGTTATTTTGAGAGACTACGGGTCACCACACAATTGTGGTCATAAGTTGAGGGCAGGCTGTATTTGTGCCAAATATAAGAATAGCTTTGTAAGGTTAGAGTGACATTTCACAGAACCAATCTTTAGGTGACCAACATGATAGTTTTTGAAAAACTTGAAAAAGAGCAATCAGAGGCCCAGCTGTGATGACCCGGAGTGTAACACAAACGTAACAAAATCCAAAATGTAAATAAATGTCCTTTAATGCTTCCAACTTGGCCCCACTGTTCAATAATTCTCAGTTGGTGATAAAACATACTCAAAAATAGTCTTCAAAAGAAAGCAATACAGTCCGAACTTAATGAGCAGATAGAGGTGAAATAAAAAACCCAAAACAAACTACAATGACAAAATTTCCACAATGGTCCAGGAAAAGTAATTAGCAAATTCAAGGAGATAACAAGGCACAGTCTGTTGGAAAGATGACAACCAAGATAACTTCAGCTAAACACTCTTTGCTTCTGGCAACGCTGTGTTTTAACCCTCTCTCTTATATACTATTCTCCTCAGCTACAACCAGTGAGGGGGATCATGGCCGCTTCCTCTCTCGTAAGCCAAGCTGTTGCTTTCTCCGTTCCTCCCTGCATGTCCTAGGATGCAGAGGGGATGGGCCTGGTTCTTCCTCTGACTGCCCAGCTGGCCTCTGCCCTTCCCCAGCCTCCTCCACAACCTCCGAAGCCACACCTCCACTCCCTGTCAGCTGTTCCCCCACTCCCTCAGAGTCTGACTCTAACAAGCGCATGACACCAGCTGAGCCATGCTTCCAGCTTGGGGTTCAAATGAGCTCTTAGACTTGGATGCAACATAGGTTCTATAAAGTTATCCAGTCCTTTCTTTATAGTGACTTAAGATTATCCTTCCATGTCTTAGATTCCTTTTCTGTCCTTTCCTTTTCTTCTTTTTGTTCCTTCTTTTCCTCATGTATAAGAACTAGAGGTTCTGTGTGATGATCCGGGGCATGGCACATGGTCAAATAAACAAGAAGAGTCCCTTTATTATCTCCAACTTTGCCCCCAATGTCCAGGTTACCTTCCCAGGAACAGCCTTTAACTAGAAAATTCAATCCAAAACGTGGTACATACAGACTGTAACTAAAAATCCAAACAAACAAAGCTGTAGTAATTAACTTGACAGGGCAGGAGAAGGAATTGCAGACTTGAAAGCACAGCTAAACACACACAGTTGGGAAGACTCCAGGAACCCAGATAAGCCTTGGACAATACCAGATAATTCACGATTTGCTTCCAACAACTTGCTGCGCTCAGCTTCTCTTTTTAAACACTGTGTTCCCAGCTGCAGCTAATGAAGGGAATCAGGGCCCTTTCCTCTCCCGTAAGCCACACAACTCATGTTTTTCCCTTTTCCATTCCATCCTGCGTGCCCTAGGATGAAGAGGGGGATGGCCCTGGGTCTTCCTCTGAATTCCCTCTGCTTTGATCTATCTCTCTCCTACACTGCCCGGCCGGACTGTGTCCTTCCCCAGTTTCTTCCACAGCCAACAGAGCCACAATCCCACTCCCTCTCAGCTGTTCAGCCTCCCCCTCCGAATCAGATTCCGACAGGGGCATGACATTCTGCTACAGAGCTGCTGATCCCTATTTTTGCAGCTTCTTAAGATGTTAGCCCTTCAAAGATGGCAAATTTAGGAAACGGGTTATGAAGAGTTTTGAAATGCATTGATGTTTGGGGCTTCATAACAGAACATTGAAAGCCTGTCTAAGCTACTCTCAGCTTCAACTGATACCCAACACAATCAAGGTGGAAGTGTGCTGAGTTT